CGCACCGGGTGAGAATAGCCACAAGACCCGCCTGCACTATTCTCACATAGAGGTGGCCCTAATCGAAAGTAAAGTTGGACAAGTTGGGACGGTTGTAACAGTAATGTAAAGTAAGCTGTAGGCTATTCCTAAGAACTTAAAAAGGCAGACTTATCTTGCTAAGACAGACTACTAGCAACTAATGACTATAAATTAACTAAGAATCACAGGGCACGGTCAAATCTGAGAAAAGAAAGTGTATAGTAACAGCACCTCTTCACAAGAACGCAATGTGTTTACTTTACTGGAAGTCGCCATCTTGGATCTTAGGGAAGGGGGAAACTACTCCAAACAATCTTTTTCACAGACCTGCAGAATGTTCCACTTGCCGAAAAGTCCAATGTCGTAGTGTAATCAGAGAAAATATAATTAAATACTCTCTGGTGTAATTTAGGCTACTGGCTGTAATTTATGCGGTTACTGTTCACCATGAAATGTAATTATCTTTTTTCCTTCGTATTGTAACTTAATAAATTATCAATCAAATTTTAAGGAGGGATTCAAGGGAGCTCTCAATAATAAGCAGACATTTAGGTCTAATTTTTATAAGCTCTTTGACCTCAATAAAGAACGACTGTTTTCGGCACATAGCATGACTATATTAACAGGGTAAAGGCCAGAGGTTATCGTAAAATCGTGCCGTAAGGTCAAGTGCCAAGTTATTGATCCTGTTTCAGCCAAGCCCTTTTAGCCCAGTCTACCTGTCCTGCTTCTACTAAAACTCAAGTGTTGTTTGCCTACGTTGACGCAGCAGTCGGTGGTCGCGTATGTTTGCAAGTTCGCGTTGGGCAGCGCTCCCTTTTGCTTTCTCTTTCCGTAGGCCTACACGTTTGCGTTTGCCACTTTGTGTTAACTGTAATTTTCTGCATCATTCGAGTGTAACACCATACAAGATGGAAGATTTCAAGCCGTTTCCAAACTTCGCTACTGATGTCATTCATGAGGGACAGGAGCCAGAACAGTGGAATTCGATGGCTGTGGTTCCACCAATCTCTCCAGCCACAACTTTCAAACAGTACGCTCCTGCTGAACATACGGTAATTTTTGTTGAACATCCTGTTATACATTCTGTTGGCTTTTTATAAGGGCCGGCTCTAGATTCTATTTCTCCCAACGTTCGTTTGGGAAAATAAACTTGAACTCTAGATATCTAGATCTAGAATCTAGATCTAGATATAGATCTAGATCTAGATCTAGATTTAGATCTATTTCTCCTAACGATTTCCGTTCTCGAGATTTGTTGATAATAGGCAAATGAAGTGGCCCATGTGTGTGTGTGTGTGTTTGTGTGTGTGTGTGTTTGTGTGTGTGTG